AATCAGCTGAGAAAAGAACACGATTTATTCGTGATAACGGAATTGCTTGTGATGCATGTGCTTTCGTCTTTCGTATGGCAGGGGGTGGGTGTAGGGTGGGTGGGTTTTGAAATCGATGTTGTACTCAGATGAGAAAAAGAACACTATTCAAGATATCGGAATTGGCTGTCATACATGTGCTTACACTATTTTTCTTTAATACATAAAGGCAGTGCTGTGGGTGTTGGGAGGAGGGGAAGGGGGGTAAAAACTGTATAAGAACTGCGAATGATAATATTGTTCTCCCGCCTACCTCCAAGTCAATTTTCAAAAGTTAACATATTTGAATGATTTTTCATATGTATATAGATATTTATATGAATTTTCATAAAACATTACTTCTTTGGGAATACGAAGAGAGAAAACTCTTTAATTTTGGTAAAACTTGTGTTTTTCACTATAGAAATCAACGGAAAACGGAAAATAGTTTTAAAACATCTCCCCCCCCCCCCCTTGAAACAAAAATTCCTTTTTACAGGTGATATTGACTGTCATTTCACAAATTCATACCAAAGCTTTTTGTGTTTCATGGGGGGGGGGGGGCATATGTTTACAGACAAAAAAACTACAAAAATGCTTATTTTTTCACCAATTTCAAAGGGATTTACAACTAAAACATTGTATTTTATTAATGATATATGTTTAATTTTATATGATTAAAACATAAGAAAAGATTTAAGGAGCATTTATTCATATCCAAGAATATTTTAAAATGTGGTGATTCTTTAAAGCCCGATTTCAATGAAAAATATCGTCTACTCCCCTTATTTAAAGAGCTGGAATTAGGGATAATTAACTGTTAAACACTGGAATTAAAATTATCAGACAATTACAATTGAACTGTTCTTTGCATTCAACAAAAATTTTACGGCCAAATTGCCATTAGTATTGAATTAAATGGGTGTAAAATGTAGGCGGGAATCGAGAGTTAGCGTGCGTAGTTCTTTAACTTAAAAATGTTGGATCCACCTTGGAAAAAAATCAAGTGTTGGATTTACCACTCATTTTCAATAAATCACTTTTGGGGGTAGGGTGGGAGTAGCTTTTTAGTTCTTGTTCAGGAACGTATATATTTATTAAAATGGTATGTCTTGCGAATTTCTTTTCCTTTAACTAATCGGTAAAATGTCAGTATGAAAGTAAGGGGAACTGTCAAAGATCAGTTGCCATCATCTGTGTGTATTGATTTTATAAATATTGATGAAATGAATAATAATTGATGAATATGAATTATAATAAATTCTGAACTTTAAATATTTGTTTCATTTCAACACCATTATACAATTTAGCAGAATCCAGTATACAAGACTTAGATCGGGTTCGATATACATTACCCGGAAGTCCCTATTGGTGTTCAATGTTTACAATTTCGAAATGTCAAAACAGTTAGTGGGTTACATATACGCATATTCAAAGTAATTCAATTAACATTTCATATTAGCAATAATAGATGAATTCAGTGAAAATTTCCACTTGGTCACAAGAGTTCACATGCCATGTTAACTTAAGGTTAGTATATTTTGATCAGAGGTGCCCTTGCATTTCATAAAATGTTTTGTCCACAACAATACTATCACTGACAGGGATAGGATAATAGTAATCATAATCAGCTGTAATCGATTACAGTTTGTTTTGTAATCATGAATAATCAGTAATCATCCGTTTTTCTGATTTTATTGATTACAATTTAAATTCTTAAGTAATCGTAATTAAATCGATAACTCTGAAAAAAGTCTTGTAATCTTGATTACTTTTTGTTTACTTTATTATTACAATGAATAAAAAGAATTGCATAATATCATGATCTTTGATGGTATTTATTGAATATTTTTCAATGTGCAAATTTGTTTATAAGCAAAAGGGGTGGGACTAAATGCAATCTTTAAAAATCTTCTTTACTCCTGGACATCAAGCAGTCAAGCTGTTGGCATGATTGTAATATTATAAGCATTAAGCCCTCTACCAAAATTGTGAAATTCATGGCCCTACAGGATCAGGGGTTTTGGCGCTAGGGTGCTGTGGGGCTTTGTGAATATTTAGTGAACAGTCAGGGCCATGGTGGAAACAAATTATTTTTTGGTAAAGGGTGGGTTCGCCCCGATTGCATGTTCGCTTTGAGTGGTTTCGCCCCAGTTATACCTGTAACCTGTAATTAAATTTAACCATGTGTGTATTGTGGCAGTTTGCTATGACAAATCTTCAATGTTTTATGGTTTTTGCGTGTGTGCTATGGGAAAGGTTTTATTATTACAGTATCTAAAGCGATCTACACTGTACACCTATTTGATTACGATTTTAATAAAGTAAATCTACTTCGATCAAAATTTGAGAAAAAGATGGAGATTGTTGGAAGAAAATTCAAACGATTAAAGTTAACTTATATATTTTACATATTTTAACACAGATGAATTAAGTTGTTTTTTTTTCCCATGTTCACGAAAAGAAAAGTTCATATTATCTGTCGTTAAAATCGGAAATTGATCAACAACTCATAATTAAATTTAATTAAAGTGCTCAAGAATTATGCTAATCTAAACACTCGGTGATCAAACGACTTTTGCTTAAATAAACATCAAGTACGCTGTATGTTTGAAGAAAATCACTCGGGGCGAATCCACTCAGGCGAACAGGGAAACAGCGTGAAACCACTCAACGCAAACGGGTAATAGGGGCGAAACCACCCAGATTCTATTTTTTGAATAAATTGTTTAAGTTATTAAATGTCATTAATATGAGTTATTATTTCCCTGATTTTGTTTTTCTTCAGTAACTTATTCAGGTTATTGATACTTTACTATTCATTATTTCCCAACCTACTGGTATCTGAAAAGGTTTATTCATGCTGATATTTAATAAACAGAAAAGAGTTATGGCAGTTAAGTATAATCTATCTTTAAGATTTCACAAGTTGAAATTCAACAAATCATAACTTATTTCAGTTATTTCATCATTGACCCACCTCACTTTAGAACTCTTGCACAAAAATCTACAGCTTTGCACAAAAATTGTAAGACATAGACATTGTACATTAATATCCATGGATTTTAGGAAAATTATTCTCACTGTTGGCAAAATTGGCAGAAGTTGTGCAATTGATCACTGAAATGTTCTTGAAATGCAATTATTTTTTCCTGAAAAATATTATGATATTTTGATAAATATCATCTTAATTAACTGCTCAGGAGATATCAGATCTGTCAAGTCTATCAAGAAAAGTACATGTATTTACAATTTTTTCAGCCTTAATACATCATTTTATATCAGCAGCAAACTCAAAATTTTCAAATTGATGTTTTTTTTTTGTTTTTTTTTTTTTTTACAAAATTAATAGGCATTCTAGTTTTTAAGAATAATTCAAATGAGTTATCAATCCTTTGTTTAGTCATAAATAAGTGAAGTAACCTTAGCATGTTACTTTGAAAAATAACTTGTTTACATCATGCCCCTGACTGGCATGAGATGACGTGATTTGAAAATGACATCATAATTGCCTTACTAAATAGCCTTACAGTACTGTAGAACTATAGAATTTTGATGCACATTAGTTAACTTTGCATTAAGTGTTGTGTGAATGCAATTTAATTTGCATTAGTGTAATTTGCATTATTTTACTTCGGATTAATTTACTGCAAATCAAATATTTAATGTGCATCCGTGTGAACAGGGCATAAGATAAATAATTTGATAAACAGACAAAAACAATTGATATTTAATTGAAATTATGAAAGAACTATATTGTTCTACCTTGTATCTTTTATTTTTCACATTTATTTTTCATATTTAAAAGTAATGGACAAAGATGATGTGTTTGTATCAATTTTATTTTTGATTGTGGGTTTCGGGCTGCATTTCCTGTGACTAGCAACAAATGGTCATTTATATCATTCTATACATAGAGTCATCAAGCCAACACTGACCTCTATCCTAAGGGACAAATCACATCAAAATTTTAACTTTTATTTTACACGGCAGTGAACTGTTCAGAGAAAAAGTGCTGCTTGATTTCATTTATTGTGAGACCAGACATAGATTGACTTACTTTAAACTATTTTTAAGTGTATATTTCAATAGCATTATTTACGGTTATTTCAAATATTTGTAGATTTTTCATTATAAATTGAATTCTATGATGTCATAATACAAGCTTATGTAAGTTGCTATGGATGCAGATGCAGATCAATTAAGGATTCACAAACTTTTAAGAACAGATTTATAGTGATAAAAACTAATATAATTGCAAAAAGAAACATTTCTCGCAAATTGTATTCCGTGAAAAGTTGATACAGTACATTACATTGTGACTGCATGTGCAGAAGTAGATTATCAGATGACAGCAACCACTTTTTAATATACTATAGAATGTGTTTTTCGTGTACTTCAAATATGTCAAAGTAGTTCTTTTTCCATCATTCAAATTGTGATGTTACACAGGTTATTGTGGGTAGCATGTGACCTATGTGTATACATTGCATTCATATCGATAATGATGCTCAGGAAGTGTGACAAAAATACAGGTGAAACAAACTTCAAATGCAGTTGTCATATTTATTACATGTTACATTACACTGCACACATATGATACAGGTCTTATGAAAATGAGAGACCAAATTTCCTGTATGTACTTTAAGAAATGAATTTAATTTTTGAGAATTCATGAGGACATGAACTACGACACTTCAAGCCGGCATATTTCATGAAGCACGTTAGCGCTTCATGATAAATATGCAGACGTGAAGCGTTTTAGTTAATGTACCTCATGAATTCTCAAAAATTAAATTCATATCTTATAAATATAAACAGACGGTAATTAACGTTTATCAATTTTTTTTTTTTTATAAAATGTATGTAATGCAATTGTTAAATTGGTTTGTTGTTTTGAACAAGTTATCCAAAGAGTTTTCATTCAATTATTGACATTTTGATTGTACACAAAGTAAAAATAATTGACTGAATTTCAGGGGTACAGAATGAATAGAAACAAAATGGCTGAATAATGCAGAACAAGTTGTCAGGACTTTCTTTGACATTCAGATGGAGTCAGATCAAACCGTTACCAGGGAAACCACTACCAAGGTCTCGTAGTCGTCACTCATCCTGTCTCCATGGTGATTGTGTATATGTGATCGGGGGAAAGGATGGAAGAATTTCTCTGAAGGATATATGGAAGTTCTGTTTAGGTCAGTATTTGTATTACATGTACAGTCTTGTACTTGGTAATGGTGGAAATGATGTACAGTTGAACTTCAGTATCTCAAACACTGATATCTCGAACACCATGGATATGTCAAAGTGATTTGGAAGTCCCAAACGCTTATTCCTTAAGTATTTTACCCTGCATATCTTGAATTCTCGGATATTTTGAAGTATTTTCTCGGTCCCATCAAGTTCGAGATAACAAGGTTTAACTATTTATAGAATCATAAAAACTCAGTGGTCCTATTAGACCAAAGTCAGTGAATTTTGAGGTTGTGTCTGACTAGGTAAAAATCAAAATTCAAGAAATTAAATGAGGTTATAGATTTTTTTGAAAGTCACACACATGAAACATTGTATGTATATAATGATGCACATTGAAGTGTTGAAGTTTTCCATTGGAAAGAAATGCTTTGAGCTTTCTTTTGAACATTGGTTGTATGTACCATAATGATGCACCCATTTCTTCAGGAAGGAGATAGCGGTTTATTGTGGAGGATAGTGAGCGGGATAACACCAGTCTGCACTAAGGGAGAGCCCTCGATTGTCCGAAATTTTCTGGCATGCTTCATTCAAATACCTATAGAACAAATATTCTATAAATACAATAGGCAATCACATTGACAATCTACATAAATACTGGGTAAACACTTGTTCAATCGATACATGAGTTATGATAACTTAAATAGACGTGGCAAATGTGTACATAAACAAACATTCCTTTTAAATGAAAAATTTTACCACTTCAATTAACATCATTGTGGATATTTTAACACTCATGTAAATTTATAATCAGATAAATACATTTTATTAATTTGCATAGCTGCAAATTCCATATCAACAATGGATTTAACATATAGCTATCACTTGAAAAGCCATCACTTTGGAGGGGATGTATTACATGTACATGTATTATTTGTGATTTTTAGCTCACCTGAACCGAAGGCTCAACGCCAGCTATGTTAAGGCTTCCGGAAGCTTAAAATTGCGCTCAAAACATAATATTTCATTGCGAGGTCAATTTTGGTTTTAATTTATAAGTATTGTACTTTAGTACTTCCAATTTATCATGTTTATGTAGAGGGTTTCCTCGGCTATATATTAACATATTTATTATGATATGACTTTGTTGATCATGTGATGGTCATTTATAATTTTTTGAAGTGTTTCACATAAATCACTTTGGCGCAGCCGATTAACACAATAATTATTAGCAATTTGTTAAATAAACTCATCGTATCCTTGTGTACCTGAAATGAGGTTGCCAATTGGAAAAGTAATAGTGTTACTTGGGTACAAAATATTTCGTGAGAAATTCAACTTACCTACAAATTTGAGGGTATTTTCCACAGAATATCATAATCTATATTAAAAAAAGCCATCAAATATTTTTCCCAAGCAAGACTCAGATAGAGAACAACCTCTTCTTACAGATTTCTGCCAAAAAAATATCAGATTAATCCTCATTAATTACCTGCGCCAGACTCTTTTTACACAAAAATATATTTTTTGTAAGCATTTTGAACGTGCTGAATTTCAAACAAGGGTACGTAAGCAATTTATTTTCAAAATATTCGGACATATAAAACTTAAAAAACCTTTAACGACCTGTGAATTTTGCAATAGCTATCTAGCATTTTACATGCAGTTTGAAATAAAGTGTAAAGTTCATGACACTCTCCCCGTTCTAACACCTCAAGTTAGCAGTGACTTGACGTCATTTTCCATTATGAAGTCATATTTTGGTAGTTCAGAGAAGTGAAGGCACAGAGTGCACTGTGATATTCTATAGGAAGCCTTAACCTACCTGCGAAGTTAGCTTTTCTGATCGAAATTTGTCCGTTGTCTGTCGTTGTTGTTGTTGTCGCAGTCATTGTTGTAAATTTTTCACATTTTCATCTTCTTCTCAAGAACCACTTGTCCATTTTCAACCAAACTTTCCACAAAGTATCTTTGGGTAAAGGGGATTCAAGTTTTTTTTTTCAAATGAAGGTCCACGCCTTTTTCCAAAGGGAGATAATTACAAATTTATGAAAAATTAATGGCATCATTTAAAAATCTTTTTCTCAAGAACAACGGTGCTAGAAAATATGAAACTTATGTGGAATCATCATGAGGTAGTGTAGATTCAAATTTGTTCAAATTATGACCCCCAGGGGTAGGATGGGGCCACAATAGGTGATCTAAGTATTACATAGGAATACATTGTGAAAATCTTCAAAAAACAACAAAGCCATGATTGGTCATATTTATATGGAAGGTGGTCCCCAGGTAGTGAAGACTCAAGTTTGTTCAAATCATGACCCCAGGGATAGGCTTGGGCCACAATGGGGGATCAAAATTTTTTTCATAGGAATACATATGAAAAATCTTTAAAATTCTTCCCAAGAACAGTCATGATTGGTCATATTTATATGGAATAATCCTCATGTGATGTAGATTCATGTTTGTTCAAATCATGACACCCCTGGGAGTATAGAGGGGCCATAACAGGGGAGCAGAGTTAAACAAAGGTATATAAGGATATACAGTTGAACTTTGGTATCTCGAACACAGATATCTTGAATAACATGGATATGTCGAAGTGATTGGGAAGAGTTTGAGATAACGAGGTTTGACTGTATCAATTTTAATATGTATAAAAATATAAAAAAAAATTTCTTCTTAAGAACGTTGAAGCCACATTTTCAAAAATTTTGATTTTTCTGAAGAGACAAAAAGAAATTTAAAGGAAGAGAAAATTATTTTAGCAATGGGCATGTCATATTTTTTTTGTCACCTTGTTTGTTTTTTTCTTTTTAGTAACAAAATTTTCCATCGCGTCAGTGCACACAGAGCTCAGGTAGACTAGATAAGACAATAGCTGCCCTAGGTAATCGTTGGCTTCATAAAATCCATAATTATGAAATGAAGTAAATTAGGCTGGTGATGTGGTCATTCAAGTTCAGAGCTCTATATTCTACACTTCTCACAATCACTTTCAAAAGTGGAAGGGGCACTATAGACACTCCCCTCCTGTGACTAACCCCTCATGTGTCCCTATATTGATTAATATTTCCATTTCTATTTGTTTTCTCTGGTATAACTCTTTGAAAGTTAGTTGAGTTGATTTCTTGATCATTCTACCGGAATGTAAATTTCACCAAGCGAAAGGTCAGGAGCTAAGAACGCCTAATATGCATGTAATTCTTGTGCGGCTGTCTTTGCGTCTGACGCTAAGGAGGCCTAATATGCATGTAATTCTTGTGTGGGTGTCTTTGTGTTTGAAGTCAGTGGGCGGGGACTATTGAAATTGACATGTGAGGCCTCGTATAATTTAAATCTATTAGTCTACATTTTTAAAATCTGAATTTACAATTTTATTTCACAATGAAATGGAAATTTAAGGAATCACTGTTTAGTTAGTAGAGTATGCCAGGGACATCAATGATAGTTGGAAACGTGGGATAGTTTATGCATTAAGGGCTTTGCCCGTTATGCAATTTATCCCACATTTCCAACTATCGTATGAGTGCCCTTTACCAATTAAGTATTTTATGTGTTTACGTATTAAGTAACATTTTTGATTTCATGAAAGCACCCAGCAGCACTTTTCACGTCAAGAAACATTCCCTTTATCTATAAGTGGTCAAGATCTATTAAGTGTATGCCCTTGCGAAAAGGCATTTTAATGAGGTTAATCAATGTTAAACATAGGCCATCCCTGTATTTTAGAAATTCTATTTAAACTCTCTCCATAATAATTAAATGATGCCATATTAAACAAAGGTTACACATTGGTTTTAATGGTCTAATAAACATCATTGTATACTTTCTGTTTGATAATAAAATGCATTAAATTACTTGATGGACCTCTTACTGCACATAAATTGCAACAAATTTTATGGACATCATGATGCCAGGTGAATTGAGATCAGTTTACTTTTGCATACCTTGTTGTGTGGTATTTATTAACATCTGACAAAAATAAATGCAATCTTGATGTAGTTACCATAATTAATATTCAGATACATTTAAAATTGCAAATTATTAGGTCACCTGAGTCACTCAGGTGACCTATTGCTATCTCTTTTCGTCCGTCGTCGTCCGTCGTTCGTCGGTCATAAACTTTTGAACATTTTCAGCTTCTTCTCTGGAACCAGTGAACCAATTTCAACCAATTTTGGCATATAGCATCTATGGGTGAAGGGGAACAAAAATTGTGAAATTCGTGGCCCCTGCCCCCCTGGGGCCTGAGGGGTGGGGCCAAAACCATCAAGATTAATGCAATCTTTAAAAATCTTCTTCTTTACTCCTGGACATCAAGCAGTCAAACTGTTGGCATGATTGTAATAAGCATTGAGCCCTCTACCAAAATTGTGAAATTCATGGCCCCAGGGTCAGGGGTTCTGGTGCTAGGGCGGGGCTATATAGATCATATAGCGAAAGTGCATTATTTCTTTGAAAATCTTCTTCTCTACTCCTGGGTATTATTGAAACAAATTGAATACATAGTTATGATGAGCAAGGGTGACTCTACCAAAATTGTGAAATTCATAGCCCCAGGGTCAGGGGTTCTGGTGTTAGGGCGGGGCTATATAGAACATATAGTGAAAGTGCATTATTTCTTTGAAAATCTTCTTCTCTTCTCCTGGGTATTATTGAAACAAATTGAATACATAGTTATGATGAGCAAGGGTGACTCTACCAAAATTGTGAAATTCATAGCCCCAGGGTCAGGGGTTCTGGTGTTAGGGCGGGGCTATATAGAACATATAGTGAAAGTGCATTATTTCTTTGAAAATCTTCTTCTCTACTCCTGGGTATTATTGAAACAAATTGAATACATAGTTATGATAAGCAAGAGTGACTCTACCAAAATTGTGAAATTCATAGCCCCAGGGTCAGGGGTTCTGGTGTTAGGGCGGGGCTATATAGATCATATAGTGAAAGTGCATTATTTCTTTGAAAATCTTCTTCTCTACTCCTGGGAATTATTGAAACAAATTGAATACATAGTTATGATAAGCAAGAGTGACTCTACCAAATTGTGAAATTCATGGCCCCTGGGTCAGGGGTTCTGGTGCTAGGGCGGGGCTCTTTTGATTATATAATGAAAATGCATTAATTCTTTGAAAATCTTCTTCTCTACTCCTGGGTATTATTGAAACAAATTGAATACATAGTTATGATAAGCAAGAGTAACTCTACCAAAATTTTGAAATTCATAGCCCCAGGGTCAGGGGTTCTGGTGCTAGGGCGGGGCTATATAGATCATATAGTGAAAGTGCATTATTTCTTTGAAAATCTTCTTCTCTACTCCTTGGTATTATTGAAACAAATCAAATACATAGTTATGATGAGCAAGAGTGACTCTACCAAAATTGTGAAATTCATGGCCCCTGGGTCAGGGGTTCTGGTGCTAGGGTGGGGCTATATCAGATCATATAGTGAAAGTGCATTATTTATTTGAAAAGCTTCTTCTCTTCTCCTGGGTATTATTTAAACATATACATGGTTATGATAAGCAAGGATGCCTTTTCCAAATTTGTGAATTTCATGACCCCTGGATCAGAGGTTCTGATGTTAGGGCGGGACTCTATTTATTATATAGTGAAAATGCATTAATGCAGCTTTAAAAATCTTCTCTGCACCTGGGCATATCAGAGGCAAAAAGGGTAAAAGTTTTAATAAGGAAGGGTATTTTTACCAGATTTTTGAACATCAAGACCATTTGGTCAAGTGTTCTAGTCCAGGCCAGGGCTCTATTAATTTGTATTCTACTGAGAGGAGTTATTCCCCTTTGCCATTTACTTGTGATAATTAATCACTGTAAATAATGTACTTGAAAGGTTAATAGAATAAGAGAATTATGCAAGAATTTTTATTGTATAATACAAAAAGTACTTTCATAGTTTTAATGATCAGGTAGACTTGTCTTATTAAGGTTTTCCATCCCTAATAGGAACTAATTCTCTATCCTTAAATATCAATCATGTATATAATACTCTGATATTAATTCAAAGAACTTTGCAGTAGAAAAGGATTTACCAAGTGAAAGTTTCAAAAACGTAATTAACTAAGCAGTATTTAATTAATAGAAATTGCATTGAAGTCTATGGAGACAAGCGATTTTTTTAAAATATAAATTCAGATAATAAGAATATCAATAACTACTGTGGTGGAAAGATCCATTAAATCATTAGAATAAGAATGACAATTGAAAACAATTTTTTTACCGTATATTTTTTTAAAATTGATTTTTATTACTTAAAAAAAAAGGGAGATAACTCTTCAACAAAGGTCAAGTCATAAATTAGGACACTTCCATTCTTACATGCTAATAGAAATAAATGTAGATTATGTCTAAATATACTGAGTATTCCACCCGTACACATCTGTTATGTATTCAAATTCATTGAATCTGAGACTATTAGGGATGGAATACCAGTACCTTAAATGTTCATCAAAGACCAAGAGTCTTACTCAGGCCAATGTAAGAGATTTCCACAAGGAATTAAAAGAGTACAGAAGCACTGATAGTTTCTTAATATATTGTCTGGTGAGAGTGATAAATAGGGAACAGATTAGAACCTAATTTATGAACTGTTAGTGAATACTAGACTAATTATTTTGTTAATCCTGATCACCCTATTTTTCTTGCTTTTGGGCAACAAAGCTTCACCTTTCAGTTCATTTTATACTCTATGGATCCTCTAAATTGTTGTATTATACTCAGGTGACCGTTAAGGCCCTTGGGCCTCTTGTTTCATTTTCTGGTATAATGAGGAATTGTTATTTTTGTGTGATCTCGCATGACGGTAAACATTTCTAAAAAAAAAAATAGGTCCCCCTCCTCTATGGAGCCTTAACAATGCTGCATGGGCTGTAATTTCATTCAAACCTGCCACAAAGCATCCTTGGGTGTAATTAGGATTCAACTTTCTTTGATTGAATGGCCATCCCCTTTACCAAAGGTTGGTAATTGGATCGGGTCATTTAAAAATTTTTTCCAAGAGCCAATTAGGCAGAAAAGGGTGGGGTGTTGGCTAGGGTAGAACCAAAGCAGGGGGTCAAAAATTTACTCAGGAATATATAAGAAAAAATCTTCTGAAATCAATTTTTCTTTGCTTTTTTTCTGAAAACTGTTTGGTTATTGCCTATAAATAGTATGTTATAAATTGGGGAAACAGGAGATCTACGCAGAAGAATCCATAATCATCATTCCACCATTAAGACCAAGAAAAACAATGAACCAGTTGGGGAACATTTCATCCTTGAAGATCAACAATGGGAGGACATGACAGTAGTGATTATTGGCCATAACCCAAGATGGACTGATGTTAAGAGAAAAAACAAATTCTGGATGCACAGGCTGAAGTCATTTAAACCCAATTGTATTAACAAAATAAATGACTTCATTAGGATATATTAAAATGTCCAATATTGCCTAATTAGACTATTCAGTCAAAGTGTTTACTTGCCAAATACATGTAATTTGCATTACAATACATGTATTACTTTCAAATAACACTATTCATATTTACTTCATTTGAATTTTTTTGTATTTACTTTCATCTGTAGTGATAACATTTTTTGTCAATGATAATAATTCAAAATTTAAAGAGACTTTATACTAGTCTTGTAGGAGTTTTACAGAAAAAGTTTGCACCAAACACCTTCAGCTGTAGGGAGTATGGAATACATCCCAGGGTAAATCCCTACACACCCTTAACTAATAATAAATTATACCAAATTTAAAATTTATGTTATTACAGAAACTTCACAATGGGAGAGATTAACACTAAAAGGAGACAGTCTGTCTTATTTAGAGGGACACAGCCTGGTCTCTTACAAGGTTGGTCTGTTTGTTCTGTGTATCTATAACTGTCATATCTAGAGGGACACAGCCTGATCTCTTACAAGGTAGGTCGATTTGTTCTGTCACTGTGTCTCTAGCTGTCATATCTAGAGAGAGACAGCCTTCTTACAAGGTAGGTCTGTTTGTTCTGTCACTGTGTCTCTAGCTGTCATATCTAGAGGGACACAGCCTGATCTCTTACAAGGTAGGTCAGTTTGTTCTGTCACTGTGTTTCTAACTGTCATATCTAGAGGGACACAGCCTGATCTCTTACAAGGTTGGTCTGTTTGTTCTGTCACTGTGTCTCTAGCTGTCATATCTAGAGGGACATACATTGTAGCCTGGTCTCTTACAAGGTAAGCCTGTTTGTTGTCCATCATGTGCTGTGTGTTGTGCTTTGACATTTCAACATTTTTAGCTTCTTTTCTGGAACCTCTGAACCAGATCCAACCATTTTGGCATATAACACTCTATTGAAAGGTGCATTCTACTATACGTTTCATTGAAATGGTGTCATCTGTGTCCTTCAACATGGGTGCATTTGAGATACGATTACAACATACTCAAGCAGATGAATCTCAAAAAAATTCAGAAATAAAATTTTGAAACAAATGGATCTGACAAATTTTCAGAATATGTTTTCAGGCAGACAGTAAACCATGGAGCTACCTTAAACGTAATGTGTGCTTTTACATCTAAAATAAAGAAATTTGACCTTTTTGCACTAAGACCGATTTTTTGAAAGAACGTTATTTCTTTATAAAAATTGAAAAAAGGCATCTATTTTCAAGTAATCAATTTTAAATACATTTGTCTATTTTTTAAAATAAAAATCAAAGCTTGCTTAAGACTTTCGCCTAAGAAGACAATAAAGCACTTTTACACAAACCGAAACCTCATTATTGAGGATACATGCATCTCTGCATAATTCCAAGATGCATATATCTAGTTTTTCACCCATTTTTTTAAAAACAGCCTTTTAAAATTGTTTTAGGGTGAAATAATTATAATATTGAAATCTTAAAAAACAATCGAGAAAATATAGCTATTATTGGGGAAAAACTAGATATACAATATGATGTCAAATGAGCATAATCTTCACCTTATAAACTCAAATAAACCAAAAAATGTTGTCCGAGTCAAGAAATGAATTTAAAAGTTATACAAAAACCAAGTTATAACTTGTATATCAAATTGATATTTTGTTCTGCTTCAATAATATTTTGACAAAATTACCATTATAATGGCATACAGGTACATGTAAGGGACTTCTATTCCTTATGCTGCTATTGCAGTACTCTCAGAATGCTTGTTGTTTCTGTCAACTGATTGTGGTCAACCTTTCTGTGCAAACCTGAGTTCAAGCAGAAAGAAAATGATATATAATGCATTCCAAAATCAAAACAGAAAATCTTTTTTTCTGTTTTTAACATTTTGCCCTCAGGCATTGAGAAAATCTAACAAAAAACAGTTTTATAAGATAGATATTGGTAAGAATGTGAAAATCAGCTTTTTTGTAATAGAAAGACGATCTACCGTCACTAAAAACTTAAATGTAAATATTTAGAGGAAATACTGACAATTTGACGTATCTACAATAAAATGATAGCAAGGCTCTATGGGGTAAATTTCCCCTCAAAGAATATCTCTGATACAGTATTTATTATTTGCAACAAAAGCAAACTTAACCTCTTCCTGAAAGCAAGATTTTACGGGGTAAATTTCCCCCCAAAGAATATCGCTGATACAGTATTCACGCCTCATAGAAAAGCGAACATTACACTTTGAAAATCACTGAACTCTACAGGGTACATTTCCTCTCAAAAATGACATTGCAACAGTTTATATATAGTAATTCTAAGCAAAACCAACCATCTTGATGATAGAAAGACTTTACGGGGTAAATTTTCCTCCAAAGAAAATCACTGGTATAGAGTATTTATGACTCACAACATCTTAAAGATAGCAAAAATCTACAGGGTAAATTTCCTCTCTAAAATGACACTGATACAGGTTATATTTAAGTATTTCAAAGCAAAGCAACCATCTTGATGATAGCAAGACTTTACAGGGTAATTTATCCCCCCCCCCCCCCCCAAATAAAATCACTGATACAGTATTTATGATTGGCAACATATTAAAGATAGCAAAAAATTCTTCAGGGTAAATGTCCTCTCAAAAATGACATTGATTGAGTTTACATGCATAATTCAAAGCAAAAGCAACCATGTTGATGATAGCAAGACTTTAGGGGGGTAAATTTCCCCCAAAGAATATAAATGATGCAGTATTCACTCCTCATAGAAAAGGCGAACATTACACTTTGAAAATTGCAGAACTCTACAGGGTAAATTTCCTCTCAAAAATGACATTAATGTAGCGTATATGCAGTGATTCAAAGCAAAAGCAACCATCTTAATGATAGCAAGACATTACGGGGTAAATTTCCCTCCAAAGAATATCACTTATACAGAATTTATGCTACGCAAAATCTTAGAGGTACAATGTATTGAAAATCTACGGGGTAAATTTCCTCTAAAAAAATATTACTGGTACAGTTTATATTATACGTAGACAAAGCAAACATTACACTTTGAAAATAGCAAATATCTACGGTGTAAATTTCCCCCAAGGAGTTTCGATGATACAGTTTATATTATTCAAAGCATAAACAAACATGCAACTTGATGATAGCAAGACTTTTCGGGGTAAATTTTCCCCCAAAGAATATCACTGATACAGTTTTAATAATTCACAGAAAAAAAACAAACAAACATTACTTATGGAAAACAGCAGAACTTTACATGGCAAAATTCCTCTCAGAATAAAAACTGATACTTCATGTATATACATATATATATATATATTTTTTTTTTACAGAAAAAGCATGTATATATACATTACATCTTGATGGCAATAAGAGACTGATCTGGGGGTAAATTTCATCTCAAAGAATATTAATAACATACTTTTTTCCCCAAAGCACGAACAACATTACAACTTGATGATGGCAAGACTCAATCTACGTGGTAAATTTCTCTCCCCCCACCCAACCCCAAGAAAAAAATATCAATGATAAAATATAGTTTTCACATCAAATGCAAACAAGCTCTTAAGGAAGACTCATTGGGGCAGACAAAACGTCATATTTACAAAAACAAATACAAACTTAAGATCTTGATGCTAGCAACACTCTACAGGGTAAATTTACCCTCAAAGAATATCAATGTACAGTATATTTTATTAAAAGCAAAAGCAACTAACATTACATCTTGATGATAGCAAGACTTTATAGGGTAACCCCCCCCCCCCCCTCCCGATAGCTTAACTAAAATTTTCCTCAGTATCTGACAGACTAGTCAATTGAGATTAAGGAGGGATTCTTGTCTGGTTTCTGACTACATCTAGATGAAATATTCAAAGTATATTTGCTTATATGTCTTATATATTTAGATGCAAGGGATTTAAAAGATCATATTTTTATTTCCTCATCATAACTGTACAACTTTAGATAGAAATAGTAAACTGAGTTTGAAATCTAGCAGGGACTATATTTTTGGTGGAACCTTGGCATATGAAAATAACTCCTTTTTTGCTTCTCAAAATTACAGAATGAATTTAGTTAAAATTTTAAACAATCATAGACTTAAAGAAACTTTCAAAGAAAAGTAAAATTATTAATAAAGGACTTAAGTTTTAAACTATATTAAATAAAAATATGATTTTCCATGCAAACTACAATTTTGTTAGCTTTTAAAAGCGTCCAATCTAAGTACAGATTTAAGCAAAAAATTCGTAAAAAGTGTTTTTTCTCTCTTAGTAAACAGTCAAAAGTTTTTGTTTTTGTATCAGTAATGTTTGTATCTTAATTTATATGACTACTTTACCATATGTGAAAATTAGAAAAAATTTAAATATACAAAGCATATAAAAATAACTAATATATCTTAAAAATTAAGAAAAATAGAAGAAATTTGGATTAGCCAATATCTATTTTAGTTAAATTATTTATGTCAATTGGGTAGTATCATCTGATAGACCCTATGTGGTAATATCTTTTTGTGCAAAAAGAAAAACATTTAATCTTTTGTAATAGAACATTGCATGATAATGGCAACAGTAATTTTTTTATTTTTAATGTCAAGGAAAAAGATAATGACCTTGACCTGACCTTGCTTCTAAAAAAAAATGGTCAAATTTAATATAATTGATACCATGATCACTTATTGATAATGTCTTCTTGAATCTATGAAAATTTCATTTATTTTTATGCCCCTGGATCAAAAGATCCCAGGAGTATATTGTTTTTGTCCTGTCTGTCTGTTTGTCTGTCTGTCTGTTGTCAACTTTAACCTTGCCCATAACTTTTGATTGGTTGGAGCTATGACTTTCATATTTCACATGTGTATTCCTTGTGACAAGACCTTTCTTTGGGTACCATCATATTTGACATTTTGACCTTGACCTTGGAGTTTGACCTACTTTTGCAAAATTTTATGAGACTTTAACCTTGGCCATAACTTCTGAAGAGTTGGAGCTTGGGGTTTCAAACTTCACATGTGTATTCTTTGTGACAGGGCCTTCCTTTGGATACCAACAACTTTGAGCTTTTGACCTTGACCTGGAGTTTGACCTACTTTTGAAAAACTTTAACCTTGGCCATAACTTTTGAACAGTTGGTTCTTGGGATTTCAGACTTCACATGTGTATTCCATGTGACAAGTCCTTCCTCTAGATATCAACCTCTTTGACGTTGATCTAATAGTTTGACCTACTTTTGAAAAAACATTAACCTTGGCCATAACTTTTGAACGGTTGGAGCTAGGTCTTTCATACTTCACATATGTAATCCTTGTGACAAGACCTTCCTTTGGATACCAACCACTTTGACCTTTTGACCTTGACCTAGGAGTTTGACCTACTTTTGAAAAACTTTAACCTTGGACATAACTTTTGAATGGTTAGTGCTAGGGCTTTCATACTTCACATATTTAATCTTTGTGACAAGACCTTCCTTTGGATACCAACCACTTTGACCCTTTGACCTTGACCTAGGAGTTTGACCTACATGGACCTTTGAGAAACTTTAACCATGGCCATAACTTTTGAATGGTTAGTGCTAGGGCTTTCATACTTCACATATGTAATTCTTGTGACAAGACCTTCCTTTGGATACCAACAACTTTGACCTTGACCTTGACGTTTTACTTATTTTGAAAAAACCTTAACCTTCGCCATAACTTTTGAACAGTTGCAGCTAATGGCTTTCAAATTTCACAGGTATATTCCTCGAGACAAGACCTTTCTTTGGGTACCAACATTTTTTATCTTTTGGCGTGGATTTTGACTTGCATTTGAGAAACTTTAACCTTCGCCATAAGCTGCCATATGGGGACATCAGTGTTTCACGAACACATCTTGTTAAATACAAGAAATATGAGAAGAATCCTTCCTTAAGTAGTTACAGATTAAAATTTTAAATTTAAGAATTCAAGGAATAATTTTTTTTAATCAAAATAGTTGACAATATTTTCAAAACTAAGAAATAAGGGGATAAATATCTCTCAGAATCTTAGGAATTTTTTTGTACCAATAATATTTTTTGAGAGGATTTTAATTTACCCCATAGATTTTTACTACCTCCAAGATTTTGCAAAGCATAAATTCTGTTTCAGTGGTATTCTTTGGGGAGAAATTTACCCCGTAAAGTCTTGCTATCATCGAGATGGTTGGTTTTGCTTTGAACTACTATATATAAACGGTATCAATGTCATTTTTGAGAGGAAATTTACCCTGTAGAGTTCTGGGATTTTCAAAGTGTAATGTTCGCATTTTCTGAGGCATGAATACTGTATCAGTGATATTCTTTGGGGGGAAATTTACAGAAAAAAGATTTTCTGTTTTGATTTTGGAATGCTTTAATATTGTTATATACACTGTAGTGACCAAATATGGATCTGAATGTATTTTGTATACATATACATGTAACAATGTGAGATTATGAAACTAAAGTATAAATTTAATTCAGATTATATGGGTAGATGATGAATTCAGTATAATTTCATTGCTTTAGAAAAATCTTTTGCTGTTTGGAGGGTCATTTGGTGATAATGTCACAGATTCATCTCTGTGGATAATTAATCCTGGTAAGTAGTGAACAGTTTGCTTTGCTCACTTTTAAGCTCACCTAACCTGAAAGCTCAGTTGAGCTTTTCTGATCACCCTTTGTCTGTCATCCATCCATCAGTCCGTCCCTCTTTTTGTCCGTCTGTAAACTTTTCACATTTTCAACGTCTTCTCAAAAACCACAGGGCTAATTTTAACCAAAATAGGTACAAAGCATCTCAGGTAAAGGGGATTCTAAATTGTTGAAATTAAATACCTATCCCCCTTTCAAGGGGGAGATAATCAATAAAAGGCAAAAATAGGGTGGGTTCCTTAAAAAATCTTTTTTTCAAGAACCACTGGGCCAGAAAAGCTGAAACTTATGCGGAAGGTCCATTTATCATGGCCCCCTGGGGTAAGGTGGTGCCATAATCGGGAATCAAAGTTTTACATTGAAATACATGTATATAGAAATAATCTTATAAAATCTTCTCAAGAACCACTGGACCAGAAAAGCTGCAATTTATGTGGGAGCTTCCTGAGGTTGTGTAGATGAAAATTGTTCAATTCATGGCCCCTTGGGGTATCACTGGGTAAGAAAAGCTGAAACTTTTGTGGAGTTAGTGAAGTGTGAACAGCAGTGAAAGAGAAACCTCAGGAGTGCTGTGCAACAATATATTCGAGGAGTGGTGTAAATCAGACGTGGATACTTAAAAATTCCAAGGAATTTTTGGAAAATTTGAAATCACAAAATTTTAAAATCAATAACATAAAAACTTGCATCCCCGTATTTGGCTGAATATAATACGCACTTTTTTCCCAAAATAATTTTCTGTGAGAAAGGGGTGCGTATTTTACACCACAATGGGATTTTGATAGGTTTTTCTTTCATGTGAAACACGGCTATCATACGCACATACCATAGTATTACCTAGAGACTTGTGCAATTTCTTGCTGTTTATCGCCGTATTTAAAACTTCGGAAAGTTATTGTTGGAATGTAGACTTCTTAAAAATGTTATATTTATAACCTTTTGATAATTAAATTAATTTTAAAAGCAAGTTAAAATTAATTTGAGCTGCATGTTCATCGTCTCCGTGTAGGCCGCCAGTAACGATGTTATTTATAGATGTTCACGCATTCCTTTGCCACGTGCTTCTGTAATCATAGTACACATGTACCTTATCAGTCAGACACTCGGTCAAAAAAGTAATAAGTCATTTTTTAATGAAATACAATAAAATAAAATTTTATTTTAGGTTTTAAATAACTCAGTGAAAATTCATTTCAACATGAACACCCCTCTATACGTTCCAATGAATGGAAGCCAATGTTGTGAACACGTGCGCTTGTCACTTGATAATTACCCCTCAACACCCCTCCAGGCAATTCAATTGTTTACCGACTCCAAAGCATTGTTTTTACAGTTAGAGCACTGATTATTTACTGCCCTTATTAATGGCTTTGATTATTTTCTTTGTTAAAAATTGGGGGTTGGTTTATGATCTTTCGTATGTATAAGCGTGCGTTGATTACGACACATTAAGCAGTTAAACGCTTGTTGAATGTAATTTTACATCTTATATCGGCCTCGTGTTAAAATGTTTGAGAGTTAAAAAAGGAAATATGAAGTATGTTGAAACTTAAGCTTATCATTTACTCGTGCGCTGTAGAAAATAAGATATCCACGAAGATTACCTCGATGTATGAAGACATATATCCCACCTTTGTACATCATTTTTCACAGCCTCGGAGGTGTGTTGATGACTACACTTTATACGCTTGTTAAATTTTGATTTTATTTTTATAACAACAGCTATTTATTTAATCAATTTCAAGTTCAAAAGAGGAAAATCGTAGTCTTTGAATACTTTGTTGTTGCAATATTGCTTGCCCTGTTAAATTTACATAATTTTCAACATGATTACCTTAAACTAAAAATAAATATGACAACTGTTAAACTTGCAACAATATCTCGTGCTTTGTTGAAATAAAATTATTTCCACAAAGAATAGTTAGAATACGGCGACGTTTAATTTCAATATCACCGTTTGCTAAAAAAAAAAAATTAATAATAAACTCTGTTAATACTTTAATGCAACATTATCTCGTGCTTTGTTAAAATAAATAATTTCCTCCAGATTGCCGCGATATGGAAAGTCAAGATTAAAAAATAAAAACGCATTTGAATAAAATATCGTGTTCTGTAAATTTTTGGCACTTTATCTCCGCGCCGATTTTCATAGCAAATTACCGCGATTTTCAAAAGTTCAGAACACCGCTTGGTAAAATTTTCTGCTGCGTATAATACAACCGAACTGCGTTTTTTCCCCCAGTTTCAGGCTCAAAAAGGGGGGTGCATATTTTACACCAATGCGTATTATATTCGGCCAAATACGGTACTCAACACTGTATACAACCATTCTGCACAATAAATTAAAATCTAGGCTTTTTGACATCATTGACAGCTGCTTTTTTTAATAAAAATGGAATTCGTAAATTTACTTAACCTTGCCATTGGTCATTTGCAAAATTATTTTGTTAAAGAACATTCTGATTGTACACATAAGTACTCTGAAGTTGATATTAAAAAGATGCTTGAGTTTCTGATTGACAATAGCTATGTGGTTTTTGGAGACCAGGTCTTCCAACAATCTGTTGGAATTTCCATGGGTAATGGATATGTGCCCCCTTGTCAGCAGACCTAGTTTTGTATTCATTTGAAGCAGAATATATTCAGAATCTTATACTTGAGAAAAAGAAATCTCTTGCTCTGGCCTTCAACTTGACATTTAGACATATCAACAATGTATTATCAAATGAATTAACAATAGTTATTTCCATTCATATGTTGACACGATATATCCCAGTGAGCTTGAAATAAGATACCACAGAGTCTGACACACCTGTTTCATATTTGGATATTTTTCTAGAAAAAGATGTCAATGGTAATCTAACAACATAGCTTTATGATAAACGTGATGACTTTAACTCATCAGCTTCCCTTACTTATGCAGCAATATACCCTTATAAACTGCATATGGGTCATTTGTATGAACAATTTCATGAACAAGAATATGAACAGTCTCATTTAAAGTCATCTTTTCGTAAGTTCTATGGCCAATACAATGACCTTGTCAGCATATACAATCTATCATTAAGTCATATGTTGACTGACGTTTTTCATTCTAATTGTTAAGCCATTATTTACACACTGAATTGTCGACGGATTTTTCCATTATTTCCCGATCATAACAAGGAGCACATGGCAGGTGTGACCGGTCAGGAGAGGATGCTCACACCTCCATGGCACCTGATCTCACCTCTGATGTTTATGGAGGTCGATGTTTGCTCTGCTCCAGATTTGTATTGTTTTAATGGACTTTGAGCTTGAATACTGTTCATTATTTCCATATTTCATTAGTCTAGATTCTAAATTGTTCAAATCATGGCCCCTGGAGTAGGGCAGGGCCACATTAGGAAATAAAAGTTTTTCATTGAAATATATACTAAATCTTTAAAAATCTGCTTCTCAGGAACCAATGGGCTAGAATAGCTGAAACTTTTGTGGAAGCTTCCTGAGGAAGTATAGATTCTAAATTGTTCAGACACGTCATGGCCCCAGGAGGAGGGTGTAGAAAATCAAAGTTTTTTATTGAAATATAAAGGAAAAATCTTCTTCCCAGGAACTACACTGTACTGGGCTAGAAAAGCTGATTCTTTTGTGGAAGCTTCCTGATGTAGTGTAGATTCTAAATTGTTCACATCATGGCCCCAGGAGTAGGGTGGGGCCACATGTGGAAATCAAAATTATTCATTGAAATATAAAGGAAAAAAAAATTCTTCCCAGGAACCACTGGGTTAGAAAAGCTGAAACTTTTGTGAAAGCTTCCTGAGGTAGTGTAGATTCTAAATTGTTCACATTCACGTCATGACTTCAGGGGTAGGATGGGCCCACAATAAGTAATCAAATTTTTCCGTTGAAATATGTAGGAAAAAAATGTTTAAAAATCTTCTTTCCTGGAACCACTGGACCAGAAAGGCTGAGACTTACGTTGTAAATGGAAACTTTCTGAGGTAGTGTAATTGTAAATTAAATTGTTCAAGTCATGTCCCTTGCAGGTAGGGTGGGGCCACAATAGGGAATCAAAGTTTTACATTGAAATATTTAGGAAAAATCTTCTTCTCAAGAACCACTGGACCAGAAAAGATTTTATTTAGCTGAAAGCTTTCTGAAGTAGTGTAGATTGTAAATTGTTCAGTTCATGTCCCCAGGAATAGGATGAAGCCACAATAGCGAATAAAAGTTTTGCATTGAAATATGTAGAAAAAAAAACTTTAAAATCTTCTTATCAAAAATTGCTGGACCAGAAAAGCTGAAACTTATGTGGAAGTTTATTGATTTAGTGTAAATTGTTAATTGTCCTGATCATGGTCCCCTGGGGAAGGGTGTGGTCATAATAGGGAATACATAGGGGAAAATCTCTAAAACTCCTAGACTCAATAACAGCAAAGTTATGATGAATCATATACCAGGGGATGCATCCTCCGCTTATGTAGATTCAATTTTGTTCAAATCATGACCCCTGTGTAAAGGGTTGGACCACAAAAGATTATCAAAACTTTACATAGGAAAACATGTATATTGGGAAAAAAGCTGATGCAAAACAACAGGCCAGAGGGACTCAGGTGATCATTATGGCCCATGGGCCTAGTGTATCATTTGATTGAATTTTTAGCATGGGAGAAAAATGTGAGGAACCAGACCCGAATTTGAACCCAGGCTCCCTAAATTACTAGTCAGGTGCTCTAACAACTGAGCTTCCCAGACCAATATTGTAGTCCATTTAACCCAAACTCCCTCCTTAAACAGTTGAATCTATGTCAAGGACACACAACAAGAAAAGTTCATTCTGTCAGGAATAAATAATTTGCATATAACCTGAACAAGACCCCTCCCATCCTACACACACACACACTTGCCAAATACCCACCCAGTATTCAACCTACATGTAATTGTAAGGACATCTTTTAATCAGCTTTCAGATTGTATAACAGACACATCGTGCTCATTATAATGCCTAGTTTTCTCTGTGACAGATGTCCTGCATGTACGACAGGTCTCATGTGAGCCCGGATTTCCTCAGCCTTGCAGCAGACGTCATCATTCAGCTGTTGTCCATGATGGCATTATGTATGTGTATGGAGGATATGTAGACCTCAGAGGAAGCAGCTCTGAATTATGGGCATTCCACATTTGTAAGACATTTTGATTAATTTCTTCTTGAACTTGGTCAGGGCTATTGTAAGAAATGCATGTTACAATTTAAGAGATTTTCTAAAGAACTACGTACGCTAACTCTGATATATTAAATAAGAAAAGCCTTAAAACATTATATTGTAGACAAAGACATTAATTCAGGATTACGATAATAAGACATATGGGGGCAATAACTGATGACTGCTGTGAAATATTTTTAAAATAGATTTATTTATTTAAATGTAAATTGGCTGACAGAGAACTTTCTGCAAAACATATTTCCTTAACAAATTATTTTTTTTTCACCTTTCAAGTTAAAATTGTAATTATGATTCTTTTACTCTCAGCTGAAGAAGAATGGGAATTAATAACACCTCGCCAGACCAGGTCAGACATGCCTGAGGGACGTCACGGTCACACGGCTGTCCTCCATGGCAGGAATATGTGGATCTATGGGGGACTATCTGGGCTAACTCCAAAATCAGACCTTTGGTACTACAACTTCCGTGAGTGTTTAAAAATTAAAATTTACTAAGGACTTATTAGACTCTAGTGCTAAAACTTAATTTCAATATTTACATTCAGTGTGATTTTTTCTTTGAAATCCACTGGAAATCTACCACATTCAATTCCCTGTGAGACACGAAACTTTGTCACATACAGCGCAGTAGAATATGCAATAAGAACTAAATGCACTTTCAATATACTAGAAACATCATAATGTATATTGGTTTGGCTCAATTTTAAATTAATTAAAAACAACTACCCTCTTTATTGAGTTGTAAAAATATAACAATTGTACATTTAAAATTAATTTGTCTTTTTTTCCCCTCGTAATATTCATTAGCATTATATAACTTTTGTCAAAGTGGCTCTTAAGTCTATTAAGCACTGCACACCAGTTCTGAAAGACACAAAATTTATAATTAAAGTGAATGAAATTAATTAACATTTAAAAAGAGAAAAATAGAGAATGTAAATAGAAGAATTGAATTCTTGTTTTTGGATGTCATCAGATTTGTATTAGCACCTGCTGTGCCGACAAATCAATACCACTCTTTAATGCACAGTATTGAATTTGTTGTCACAGGACAGGTGCTGTTATACAACTGACAACATCCAAAAACTAGAGGTACTGTGAGCACTGCGCTCCCATATGAGAATAAAGTCAAAGTTGATTTTTTGCTGTAATATTTGTAAAATAGGAAGTCACTATGCAGCACTATATAATCAAGATTTCGTGAAATCCTCATTAAATTTCATTTAGGAGGAGTTGCAGCTGATAAGTGATAGAGTACCCCCAATGTTATAGAAAAATGGCAGTGCCCGGGTTTTGTTATGGGAAAACCTCTGTCTGATTTAATTGAAAAATATGAGGTACAAAATGGCACTATGTAATAAAGATTCTGTGAAAGTCCCATGCAGTGGTATATAGGAGAAGATGGAGATAAGAGATTGGTAAACCCCCCCCCCCCCCCCCCAACATCATAGAAAGAAAAGCAATGTCCATGTCAAAGATTACTCTGACTCTTTCTTTTACAAATCCTGTATAGCTTTAATGAACATATGTAGATAATCTCTCTGAGAGCTTTGAATTTTGTACTTTGCCTTTGGACCTTGACTTCTCTTTCTTGACTTTGTAAAAATAAATTTGTGATTCAGAATAAGTGTGTGAAAATCCACATGTACATCTACATATGTACTGGTATGATGTCACTTTATAATAAATAAAATACATGTAACTCTTCATGGCTTGATTTACTCTTGATTTTTCAAACTCTCAATCTTGAGAAAACCTTTATCCCTCAAAGTCAAAATGCAGTCCTGTATACATAATCCATTGTAATTTACCCTGGATACCTTGAAATGGCTATGTGTATGCAAGCATTACCTAATTAACACCTTCATCTGGACATTTAAATGGCTCCAGGTGTTAGACGTATGACCCATGTATTGGGATGATTATCCAGGTGACACTTGTACTGCAAGGTGATAATTAAATGATTGATCATAGTGTTGCCTGTCAATTCTTAAAATTATCAACATTGACCATCCTACAATAATTTGAAGACACACTGTGAAAGTAAAATTATATTAATTATCAATGAGACACTAATTTTGACAAAACAATATTACATTCCAAGTACATATTATAAATAAATATAATGACAATATATCACATTATATGCATTTTTTTGGTTTATTCTGAGTTTAATAAAACATCCAAATCTTTATTATATTCATCATTCTGAAAAAAAACCAAAAAACAAAGGAGTATCATTGTTAAAGCTTGTGCATCATTAAGCACTGAAAATGAAGAATCATAAATCCAGTTAGACTAATTTTAAAACCTGTCAACCAACTCAGAAAATTCTGGATTCTTGAAAACTCCAACCTTTGATCTCTAGAAACTTTTCCATGGTCCCCTGGACTTTGAGGTATCAAGAGTACCTGTACAAAAAATTGAATCTGATTTGTTTTTAGTAAACTCAGGTGACCTCTTGCTATCTGTTTAAAAATCTTCTTCTTTATTCCTGGACATCAAGCAGACAAACTGTTGGCATGAATGTAATAAGCATTGAGCCCTCTACCTAAATTGTGAAATTTAGGGCCCCAGGGTCAGGGGTTCTGGTGCTAGGGTGGGGCTCTGTTGAATATGTAGTGAAAATGCAATTATTCTTTAAAAATATTCTCCTCTGCTCTTGGGTATTAAGGAAACAAACATTATGCATAGTTATGATGAGGAAAGATGTCTCTTCTAAAATTGTGAATTTCATGGCCCCTGGGTCAGGGGTTCTAGTGTTAGGGTGGGGATCTAATGATTAAATAGTAAAAATGCATTAATTATTCAAAAATCTTCTCCTCTGCTCCTGGGTATTAAGCCAATGAACTAAGTACATAGTTATGATGAGAAAGAGTGCCTCTTCCAAAATTGTGAATTTCATGGCCCAAGGGTCAGGGGTTCTGGTGTTAGGGTGGGGCTCTGTTGAATATATAGTGATAATGCATTATTTCTTTAAAAAGCTTCTTCTGTGCTCTTGGATATTATGAAAACAAAATAAATACGTAGTTATGATGATGAAAGGTGCCTCTTCCAAAATTGTGAATTTCATGGCCCGAGGGTCAGGGGTTCTGGTGTTAGGGCAGGGTTCTATTGAATATATAGTGAAAATGCATTATTTCTTTTAAAAATATTCTCTGATCCAGGGCAAACAAACTGAATGCATAGTTATGATGAGTAAGGGTGCCTATTCCTATTTTATGAATTTCATGGCCCCTGGTCAGGGGTTCTGGTTTTAGGGTAGGGGCCTAATGATTACATAGTAAAAATGCAATAATTTTTTGACAATCTTCTCCTTTTCTCCTGGGTATGAAGCCGATGAACTAAGAGTATAGTTATGATATGTAAGGGTGCCTGTTCCAAAATTGTGAATTTCATGGCCCCTGGGTCAGGGGTTCTGGTGTAAGGGCGGGACTCTGTTAAATATATGGTGAAAATGCATTAATTCTTTAAAAATCTTTTCCTTTGATCCTGGGTATTTAGCAAACAAACTGATGCATAGTTATGATGAGTAAAGGTGCCTCTTCCAAAGTTATGAATTTCATGGGCCCTGGGTCAGGGGTTCTGGTGTTAGGGCAGGGCTCTAATGATTACATAGTAAAAATGCAATAATTCTTTGAAAATCTTCTTTTCTCCTGGGTATTAAGCTGACTAGGAGTATAGTTATGATATGTGAGGTGCCTCTTCCAAAATTGTGAATTTCATGGCCCCTAGGTCATGGTTCTGGTGTTAGGGCAGGGCTCTAATGATTACATAGTGAAAATGCATTAATTCTTTGATAATCCTCTGATCTCTTTCTAGGTATTAAGTAAGCTTCCTATATGTAAAATTAAGATGATCAAGTGCGCCATGAAATTGTGAATTTCATGGCCTCTGGTTTAAAACATGAATATAATTTAATCGTGGTGAAGTTGTTGCATGATACTCAGGTGACCTATAAGGCCCGTGGACCTCTTGTTCTTTTTCAGACTTTGATTACTTTAAGTTTATTCTATGTTTATATTTTGTAGATGTTGGTAAGTGGACACGGATGAAATGTAGGTTTGGTCCACCACCATTAGTAGGACATGCGGCAGCTGTGGTAAGATATCTTACACCCTGTAATCTTAAATGTTCAGTTACTCTTCAGTGATCAGTTAATCTTCAATGATCAGTTAATCTCCAATGATCAGTTTATCTTCAGCAATCAGTTAATTTTCAGTGATCAGTTAATCTCAAATGATCAGTTAATCTTCAGCAATCAGTTAATTTTTAGTAATCAGTTTATCTTCAATGATCAGTTAAATTTCAGTGATCAGTTAATCTTCAATGATCAGTTAATCTTCAGCAATCAGTTAATCTTCAGTGATCAGTTTATCTTCAATGGTCAGTTAATCTTCAATAATCAGTTAAATTTCAGTGATCAGTTAATCTCCAATGATCAGTTAATCTCCAATGATCAGTTAATCTTCAGTGATCAGTTAATCTCCAATGATCAGTTAATCTTCAGTGATCAGTCAATCTCCAATGATCAGTTAATGTTCAATGATCAGTTAATCTTCAGTGATCAGTTTATCTTCAATGATCAGTTAATCTTCAATAATCAGTTAAATTTCAGTGATCTGTTAATCTCCAATGATCAGTCAATCTTCAGTGATCTGTTAATCTTCAGTGATCAGTCAATCTCCAATGATCAGTTAATCTTCAATGATCAGTCAATCTTCAGTGATCAATTAATCTTTAATGATCAGTTAATCTTCAGCAATCAGTTAATCTTTGATGATCAGTTAATCTATCAGTTAATCTTCAGTGATCTGTTAATCTTCAATGATCAGTTAATCTTCAATGATCAGTTAATCTTCAGTGATTAGTTAATCTTCGATGAACAGTTGAAGTCTCTTCACAGAGTCTGAGTTGGTATCTGCTCATTTTTTAGCTCACCTGAGCTGAAAGCTCCAGTGAGCTTTTCTGATCACCCGTTGTCCGTCGTCCGTCCGTCCGTCTGTAAACTTTTCACATTTTCAACTTCTTCTCAAGAACCACTGGGCCAATTTTAACCAAACTTGGTACAAAGTATCCTTGGGTAAAGGGGAGCTTAAATTGTTAAAATAAAGGGCCAAGTCGTCTTACAAGGGGAGATAATCAAAAAAAGACAAAAATAGGGTGGGGTCATTAAAAAATCTTCTCAAGAACCACTGGGCCAAAAAAGCTGAAACTTACATGGAAGCATCCTGGGATAGTGTAGATTTTAAATTGTTAAAATCATGACCCTTGGGGGTAGGGCGGGGCCACAATAGGGAATCCAAGTTTTACATTGAAATATATAAGAAAAATCTTGAAAAATCCTCTTCTCAAGAACCACTGGGCCAGAAAAACTGAAACTTATGTGGAAGCATCCTGGGGTAGTGGAGATTCTAAATTGTTAAAATCAGGACCCCTGGGGATAGGGAGGGGCCACAATAGGGAATCCAAGTTTTACATTGAAATATGTAAGAAAAATCTTGAAAAATCTTCTTCTCAAGAACCTCTGGGCAAGAAAAGCTGAAACTTATGTGGAAGCATCCTGGGGTAGTGTAGATGCTAAATTGTTCAAATCATGACCCCCAGGGGTAGGGTGGGGCCACAATAGGGAATCCAAATTTTAATTTGAAATAAATAGGGAAAATCTTTTAAAATCTTCTTCTCAAGAACCACTGGGCCAGAAAAGATGAAACTTACCATATATACTCGCCTATAAGTCGGTTGTATTTTTGAAGCTTATATTAGAGGGATTGGCCTTCTAAAATACCTTTCTTTTTATAACTCGCCTATAAGTTGGACATACAGTGTTGGATCAAAGTTTAACTCCAAAAAATCCGACTTATAGGTGAGTATATACGGTATGTGGAAGCATCCTGGGATAGTGTAGATTTTAAATTGTTAAAATCATGACCCCCGGGGGTAGGGCGGGGCCACAATAGGGAATCCAAGTTTTTACATTGAAATATGTAAGAAAAATCTTGAAAAATCTTCTCAAGAACAACTGGGCCAGAAAAACTGAAACTTATGTGGAATCATGACCCCCCGGGGGTAGGGCGGGGCCACAATAGGGAATCCAAGTTTTACATTGAAATATGTAAGAAAAATCTTGAAAAATCTTCTTCTCAAGCACAACTGGGCCAGAAAAACTGAAACTTATGTGGAAGCATCCTGGGGTAGTGTAGATGCTAAATTGTAAAAATCATGACCCCTGGGGGTAGGGTGGGGCCACAATAGGGAATCCAATTTTACATTGAAATGTGTAAGAAAAATCTTCTTCTCAAGAACAACTGGGCCAGAAAAACTGAAACTTATGTGGAAGCATCCTGGGATAGTGTACTCCAGTAGATTTTAAATTTTTAAAGTCATGACCTCCAGGGGTAGGGCTGGGCCACAATAAGTATTACAAGGGGGAAAATCTGGTAAAGAACAGCATGGCCAAAGTTACTCAGGTGAGCGATGTGGCCCATGGGCCTCTTGTTTATGATTATACACAAATTATAATGAAGAAACTAAATCTTCACCATGTTCATGTTATGAAGATTTTTGTAAAAGTTCAGAAAGAAATTATTTTTTAACCCCTCACCTGGATAAATAATGATGCTATATTTGTTTCAAAATTAGTCAAAGAATTGATTTTAAGTGATATAGCATACAATGTAGCAGTCATGACACTGAAGCTGCCTTAAAGGAAAGATTTTTCACCAAGAGGAGAAAATAGCAATTGTCCCAAATTACCTATCCTGTTTTATTCATCATGAGATGATGAAATAAATTGAACAAATTTATTCATTGACTCAATTCTTCAGACAAAGAAAGAGAAAAAATGCATATTTGAATTTTTATAATGAAAAAAAAAAAACATTGGACAGCTTTTTAAGCAGAATAACAAGAGGAATTTCACTTGCTCAACTCCCAAATTCACCTTGCCCAAGAAAAAAAATGGTGATGTATATTAGATTCATTAAACATCATTATTTGATAACTTAATTTAAAAAAAAATTCTAATTAAATGAAGCAATATTTAAACAAAAAACCATAACATGATTGTTTGTTTGATTCTTCAATTTAAATTTTTTTCATTAACCATGAAAAGCGATTTATGCATGCGTAATTTTACTGCAATAGTTGATTTATCGCATTAGTTAGCATATGTAGAATTCTGATTGTTGATTGAAACTTGGATTCATTTTTATTTTTATTCCCCACCATGAATATGGTCTCTGCATACAGTGTTTGTCATGTCCTTCTTCCATCCTTCCATCCCTCCGTCCTTCGGTCTGTTCTTTTATCACACTGTGTTTAGCTCAGTTGATTCGATATGCAAGAGCACGCCCTACGTATGAGCAATTTCTGAAACGAAGTAAGTTATTGACAAACAAGTTGATGAAACAAGAATATCAACAGTCTTGTTTAAAGTTATTTCCTAAGTTCTATAGTCGATACAATGACCTTGTTAGCAAATACAATCTATCATTAAGTCATATGCTGACTGACGTTTTTCATACTAATTGTTAGGCCATCATTTACACACTGAATTGTCAACAGATTTTTCCGTTATTTCCTGATCATGACAAGGAGCACACGGAAGGTGTGAACAGTCGGCATGGGATGCTCACTCCTCCATGGCACCTGATCCCACCTCTGATGTTTTTGGAGGTCCATGTTTACTCTGATCCCGATTTGTATTGTTTTAATGGACTTTAAGCTTGAATATTTCCATATTTCATTTCAAAGAAAATGTTCAAGATATTTTTTTTTTTAAACTTCTTATGCTGATGCATATTGATTAGAGCTACTTGCATCAGCTTTTTTGACCTTGACCTTTTCTTTGACCTTGATTTCAATGTTTAGCTAAGTTTTAAAGAAAGTATTCAAGATATTTTTTTTAAACCTTATATGCTACATGTAATATAAATTGTTAAAAGCTGTGCAACTTTGTCATAATTTTTTGACTTTGACCTTTTCTTTTACCTTGACCTCACTTTTCTTAAATTTATGTTTAGCTGTTTTAAAGAAACTATTCAAGATATTTTTATCAAACTTCATTTGCTTATACATATTGTTAAGAGTTGTTTAGTTGCTTCAACATTTTTCACCTTGATCTTTACTTTGACCTTGACCTCACATTTCACAAAATTATAAGAAGCTCGGTTTTAAAGAAACAGATGTTTTTATTTAACTTCATGTACTGATACATTTTGGTGAGTGCTGTTGAACTGCATCAAAATTGACCTTGACCCTCCCTTTGACCTTGATATCACTTTTTTCAAAGAGACTATTCAAAATGTTTTTTTTGTAAGCTTATCCACTGATACGTAATTTGGTGAAAATTTATCAACTGTGTCCAAATTTTTATGTTGGGGTAATTGAAGATTTGGGAACATATATTATTTTGCTCTGTCCATCTCTCTGTCTGTCTGTTTTCCACAAAATTTTTGCTCATAACTTTTGATTTGTTGGAGCTATGGTTTACACATTTCACACTTTTATTCCTTGTGACAAGACCTTCCTTTGGGTACCTACATTTTTTATCTCTTAACCTTTACCTTGGAGTTTGACTTGCAATTGAGAAACTTAACCTTTGCTCTTAGATGTAATACGGGGGCATCCTTTTTCACAGGATTTGATTTTTAAAAGGATATGTGGTTTGATTTTGAAATGTAAGGAAAATATTTACATTTAAAAATACATGTATAACATATACTATGAACAACCATGTACATATATAAAATGTGTTTCTGGATTTTATTACTTTCCTTATAAGTTAGAGTGGCACAATAACTTAATTTCCTGAAATGACTTTTTCACTTGCCCAATGCAATGGAAAAACATATTCTAGACCCATGATATCAGAGAGTTTGTTGTAATAGTGACCCATTTGTCTCTTGATATCTTTTTTATCCCTATATGTTTAGATGTTTCAATATATTCTGTACTCCTGGACATCGAGGAGGGATTGTAAAAATGAATAAGATTTTGTTTAAAAATAATAAAACTTGATCATCTCAAATGAATCCAGAGTTTCAGACCAAGATGAGGTAAATTTATTAATTCTTTTCTACCACCAATTTGTCAAGGCCTTTTGTTGTTGTTTTATGTAGGTCAAAGACAATATGGTTTTGCAAGGTGGAGAGCAAAATGGAGAACTAAGAAATGACTTCTGGGTTTTTTCTTTCGGTGAGTGATTAGACATAATTATTTTATATTTCAATTAACAATAGATAGGACATCATAAAGTGAGTGCTAAATTTTGCAAGAACAATACATTATAAGAATCAATTAGACAGCAATTGGGAACATGATATAAATGTGTAGAACACTCTTATCTGGGCACTATTTCACTCAGATGACCTTTTGCTTTCATTTCTGGCTCACTCGATGAAGTTTATGGGATGCACTGGCATCCTGGTTTAAGTTCATGGGCAAGTCTAATCCCAAGTAACTAAAAGACCTATAATTACCAAACTAAGATGATGATGTGTCTAGGGTTACACATTACCTGACTTGCTTTGGATACAGATCAGTATTATACATGAAATGGTCCTGTAGATATACAAACTTACTGACTTAAATCCTATGAATATTTTGAATAATGAACAAATTAATATGATTTTTTGGCCCCTGGGTACAGGGTTAGGCCCCAAAGATTGTCTTATGTTAGATGGTATTATATTAAAAATGGAATATAAGGATTGATATTCTTAAAATTGTATTGAGACATTACACATGTTAAATATAACAGCCCTTCTCTTTAAAAGAACATAGAGTTTATTGTTATTTTAAAATATTTTTGAAAACAAGGTCATACATTAGGGAGTTTCTTAAAGAAAGAGAACTTCATTATCAAAATATTGGGGAAAATTATATATTTTTGAGGAACATGTTGTCTGACCTTGTAATTAAAAAAATTTTGAGTCATGATGAAATTTTTTTAAGTCGATCAGGCTGAGCTTATCTGTCCATTAAAAACCTTAAGAAAATAATAACTAAGATAAGATAAAGAACTATTGAGAAATTCAAATTTTTAATCACTGAAACACCAAAAATGTAAATTTTCTAGCCCAAAAATTTAAATGCATGGATAATTTTATAAGCATGCAAACTTTGATATGTCAAAAAGATTTGAGTCATTATAAAAATTCTGTGAGTGAGGCTGATCTTGTAAAATTGTCCATTAGATGCTGACAATAAGGTTAAGTGGATTATTGTGTAACTGTACATTGTGACAGGAAGGATTCAAGGTCAACTTTTACAAGGTTAAGTCACTAAAAAAAGAAATATTCTTGAGGTATTGTCTATTCAGAAAAAGTTATAAATACTGAAGTTCTTTATTGACAAAAATTAATTAAGAAATATTTGAAGTTTGCAGCAGATCAACATAAGGAACTTGCATATGACTCATTTGGATATGATTTAGAGTGATTGGTTGCCATTATATGACTCATATGGATATGATTTAGAGTGATTGGTTGCCATTGTATGACTCATTTGGATATGATTTAGAGTGATTGGTTGCCATTATATGACTCATTTGGATATGATTTAGAGTGATTGGTTGCCATTATATGACTCATTTGATATGATTTAGAGTGATTGGTTGCCATTATATGACTCAAAGATGGTTCCCAATTTACAGTGTATAAATAGTTTTGATTTTGTTTGTTGTTTAACGTCCCTCTTGAGAATTTTTCACTCATATGGAGACACAACCACTTGCCAATGGAGGGCTGCATTTATACCTATGCTCAGCACTTAGGGCCATTGAGCAGTGAGGGATCTTTTTCCTGCCAAGACCTACTGTGACTCCGGACCTCGGTTTATACAGTCTCATCCGAAGGACCTGTTTCCATGTCCCGCAGTGGATTCAAATCCGCGATGTAAGGATCAGCTCCTTACTCCGCGACTCTAGAGCAGACGCTCTAACCAGTGTGCCATGTGGGCGACTAAATAGTTTTGATATTCAGATCAAGTGCTATGTTATTGTAATGAAAAGCCACAAAGTATGTCACCATTAATCAGAATTCAAATCTCTTAAAGCATTTAAATTTTTGTGTTAATTTTAAGTAATATTTTTTTCTTTTGTACAGAATGTTTGAAGTGGACACATGTAGAAATACCAAATCAAGTTCCTTCTGCAAGAATGTGGCACTCGTTGGAAGCAATTACTATAGAGTCTAAAAAGACGGATGGCTCAGCTCGGACCAGCTCAATGCCATATCTCCAGAACAAGCATGGAAGGAGGCAAAATCTCCGCCCCCGCTCAAGTCCTGCCTACTCCTCTGCCAGAAATAGGGTAACACCAAAACAGAACAAAGAAAATTTGACTGTGAACTCTGAAAATTTATCAATGTCTTTACAAAAACCACAAACAGGAGAATCACAGCCATTGAAAAGTCAGTCAAGTGCTAATCCTTTTATCAAAGAAACATCAACAGCATCCAAAGGATCTTTACAGAGACCTCATACTATAGAGTTACAAACTATCAACACTCAGTCTGTATCAGCAATTAAAATGATGGAGTTACAGACCAAAAAAAGTCAGACTGATTCCATCCCTGTTGTCATGAGAACTCCAACACCAAAACAGAAGGAAGAAAAATCACCTCTGCTGTTGGAGAGACATATATCACAGTGTAGTGAGGGCAGTCAAAGCAGCTTAAAAGGAGCAGACAACCTGGGGATGGATATCTCAAGCAGTTCTGATGGTATATCTTCATTGGACTTTACTTCATGTAAGACATTCACTCAGTCTTATGGATATCACCAGAAACCTCCAGAGAGGGTGAAGCCTGTAAAAATGCAAACTTTTAGTCATAATGTGATCAATGTGTTGCCCTATCCTCAATTAACACAGGACCTAGTTGTGGAGGATTTAGAAATTTATGAGAATTACTTCTCAGAACTGAATGAAACAGCTTTTGTGAAGAGGGAATGTCAAAAAAATCATTTTGGTGGCTATAGCAAGAAATACAAAGTAAACAAGATGGAAATAAAAAATTTACGGAAACGCTCAAGTAATTACAGTACAAATGATATGACATTAGATCGGTATAGATCTTCTTCTGTCGGGGAGTTACGCAACCTAAATGAGAAAGTTTCAGAAACCAAAACAGCCCTACGTAGTAAAAGCCTTCACAATCTAAAGAAAGATAGTCCTGTGTTATGTTGGCAAAGTGAGGATTCAGATCAGGCTACGGAAGAAGTCGGAGCAAACCCAGCAACGAATGTAGAAATGACTACAGATTTCTCTGAGCCTGTGAACAAAGAGACTGTGCATGAAAACCAGGTTATTTCTAACAAAAAGGTTCCACCGAATAAAAAACAAGAAACCAGGATAGAAATTCAGGTATTATATATACATGTAAAGATCAGACTAAATTGCTTTAAATTACAGTTTTTATACATCATTAAGATCATGCAGTAAGGTTATTGAGATTAAACTTTCGTAAAGTTGAGGGACGAGATGTAGATGCTGGGCTCATGTTAGTGTTAAAGAAATTTCCTGGTCTCAACCAGTGATTATTTTATGCATATCAAAATCGATTCACAGTCGGAATCGACAGGTTTGTGCATCCAGGTTCTATTTGTCTAATTCCTTGTTTGATTAGGTTGTAAGATGAAATAACACAATGTAAATTCAATATCAAGAATATTTCTAAGAACAAATTATCTTGAAGATATATTCTTAACCATTGTAATGTTTTCTAAATGCTGTTTCACCATGGTGGAACAAAATACAATGCATTATATAAATAAGAAATACAGTAAAAGCAGAAATATTTGTTGTGGATTAAATTTCATTTATTTCTTTGTTAACAATTATCAACGAAATAAAATCCCTCATGAAATTTTAATATGACTACATATTGTGTAGAGTTACTTTCAAAACAAGGAAAATTAATGCCAATGAAATCTTTTTATTAGATGACAAATCAACGAAATTTTATCCCCACAAATATTTGTGCTTCTACAGAATGTTCAGTAAACAAGGGCTATATGCAGAATCTGAAAATGGCACTACTAGAGGTGGTTGAGAATCAAGATTCACTGGTGAAGAAATATGATTTTTTAAAACTGTTGGTTATTTTAAAATTGGAAAGCAAACTCAGGATTACATTAAATGTAGTCTAATTTTTAACTCACCTGAGCTCAAGTGAGCTTTTCTGATCAAAGAGTGTCCGGTGTCCATCTGTTGTGTGTAAACTTTTCATATTTTTGACTTCTTCTCAAGAACCATTGAGCCAATTTCAACCAAATTTGCCACAAAACATCCATGGATAAAAAGATTTAAGTTTGTTCACAGAAAGTGTCGCAGCCTCATTCAAGGGGAGATAATTAAGAATTCTTGAAAATTTGGTGGCATCTTTTAAAAATCTTTTTCTCAAGAACCACAGGGCAAGAAAAGATGAAACTTAGGTAAAAGCTTCAGTACATACTCTAGATTCAAGTTTGTTCATATCATAACTCCCGGGGGTAGGGTTGGGCCACAAGAGGGGTCAAAGTTTTACATAGGTATATATATAGGAAATGTGTTTAACAAGAGGCCCATGGGCCTTATAGGTCACCTGAGTATCATGTATCAACTTCACCCTGAGCCCTGCCCTAACACCAGAGCCCTGCCCTAACACCAGAACCTTGATCCAGGGGGCATAAAATTCACAATTTTAGAAGAGGCACTCTTACTCATCATAACTATATTCTTTGTTCATTGGCTTAATACCCAGGAGAAAAGGAGAAGATTTTCAAAGAATCATTGCATTTTTTACAATGTAATCATTAGAGCCCCCCCCCCCCTTAAAACCAGAACCCCTGACCCAGGGGCCATGAATTTCACAATTTTGGAAAAAGCAACCTTGTGCACCTTTACCATGTACTTAGTCTGTTTAAATAATACCCAGGAGCAGAGAAGAAGATTTTCAAAGAATTAATGCATTTTCACTATATAATCAATAGAAATCCCCCCCCCCCAACACCAGATACCCTGACCCAGGGGCCATGAATTTCACAATTTTTTTTAAAAAGGCATCATTACTTGTCCTACCATGCACTTAGTTTGTTTAAATAATACCCAGGAGCAGAGAAGAAGATTTTCAAAGAATTAATGCATTTTCACTATATAATCAATAGAGCCCTGCCCTAACACCAGAACCCCTGACCCAGGGGCCATGAATTTCACAATTTTGGAAAAGGCATCAATGCTTGTCATAACCACACACTTAATTTGTTTAAATAATATCCAGGAGCAGAGAAGAAGATTTTCGAAGAATTAATGCATTTTCACTATATAATCAATAGAGCCCTCCCCCCCCCCCCCCCAACACCAGAACCCCTGACCCAGGGGCCATGAATTTCACAATTTTTTTTAAAAAGGCATCATTACTTGTCCTACCATGCACGTACGAGGGGTTATCAAAAAGTTCGTGGACTAGCGTGATAAAATTAAAACCGCTTTAGGTACATCAATGAATTTTTACACATTTAGTTAGCATCATCCTTTCTATCTATAGAATAAACCATAAATCATAATTTTTATTTTTTAATAAAATGTTAGTGTTTTTGTAAGCAAAGGTATGTCCAGGCGGCGCAACCTCTAATATGACGTTTTTTCCTACCTGAGTGTAACTGAGAAAAACTCTTTAGATATGAGTATTTGTCATCAGAAAATCTCGTTAATTCAGGCATGTGGTATGACACATTTGTTCAGTAAAATTTGGAATTTTTACCCCATTCTGTAATTTCTATGAAATTTTATCGTAAATTTTATATGGAGTGTCCAAACAATTATGGGCTTGAAAATAACGTCAAAAGGGGGGAGGGGTTTCTTTTTCAAACACTCTATAGAGTTTCGGTCCTGGAAAAACTGGTATTGACCTAAGGAATGTTTAAACTGGCTACAGAAAAATAAAATGCATCCAGAGTACTTGTTTTTTAATGCCTAAAAAGATTCAGAGAGATGAAATATGCACAGCTAGTGTCGATTTGTAGTCAGGGTGTCAAAAGTCAGTCACGTCGAAAAGTGACGTTGATCATGTGTGGTAGAAATTGAACTCCAACAAGCTAAGTATTCTGGCATAATCAAGTGAGGATCTTTCCCCATATAAAGATCCATTTACAATATTATATGCATTGAAAACAGCTGCTCATGACATTGTAAATTCATATAAATAAGACGGGTTTAAGTCCTAACTTAACTCCAGGTAATCTCATCAAGATAAGTGTATGAGGTAGAGAGAGCGGACATTAAGAAACAATGACGTTAAGCGGACGTCATGACACTAAACGGCGACAGCGCCGGGTGATCACATAAAGTCTTTTTAATTTTAGAATAATTTGGCAAATTATCAACTTATCAAGCTAAAATTGTCAACATTTCTTAAACTTTTGTTGTTTTATGTTCCGCATAAATTTTGTAAGCAAAGACTACATATTATTAATTTTATCGCGTCAGTCCACGAACTTTTTGATAACCCCTCGTAGTTTGTTTAAATAATATCCAGGAGCAGAGAAGAAGATTTTCAAAGAATTAATGCATTTTCACTATATAATCAATAGAGCCCCCCCCCCCCAAATACCAGAACCCCTGACTCAGGGGCCATGAATTTCACAATTTTGGGAAAAGGCATCAATGCTTGTCATAACCATGCACTTAGTTTGTTTAAATAATACCCAGGAGCAGAGAAGAAGATTTTCAAAGAATTAATGCATTTTCACTATATAATCAATAAAGCCCCGCCCTAGCACCAGAACCCCTGACCCTGGGGCCATGAATTTCACAATTTAGGTAGAGGGCCCAATGCTTATTACAATCATGTCAACAGTTTGACTGCTTGATGTCCAGGAGTAAAGTAGAAGATTTTTAAAGATTGCATCAATTTTGGTGGTTTTAGCCCCATCCCTGGGGCCCCAGGGGGGCAGGAACCATGAAATTCACAATTTATGTTCCACTTCACCCAAAGAAGCTATATGCCAAATTTGGTTGAAATTGGTTGAGCGGTTCTAGAGAAGAAGTTGAAAATGTTCAAAAGTTGACGGACGATGCACGACGCACGACGACAGACAAAAACGGATAGCAATAGGTCACCTGAGTGACTCAGGTGACCTAAAAATCTTCTTCTCGAGAACAGCAAAGCCATGGTTAGTCATATTATAACCATTACAGAAGTATTCTCAGATAGTGTACATTCAAGTTTGTTCCAGTCGTGACCCATGGAGGTAGGGCAGGGCCACAACAGGGGTCAGAGTTTACCATATGAATATATAAGAAATATCTTAAAAGATCTTCTTAAGAACAGCTGAGCCATTATTAGTCATATTAATAGAGAAGTATCCTCAGGTAGTGTAGATTCAAGATTGTTCAAATCATGACACCAGGGGGTTGGGTGGGGCCAAAACAGTTGGGTCAAAGTTTTACATAGGAATATATAGATGTAATTGTTAAGGGGCATTTGAGTAAAACACTTTGAAGACTTCAAATAGTGAAATGACCTGACAACCCTTGGAATGGACTAGCCAAACCGAAGGATATATAAGGCAAAGCTTTGGGAAAGTCAGGCATTCAGAAGCTAGTTGGACGTTGAATCAGCAATAAAGAAGTTAATGTATTCCATCCCTAATATCAACAGATTCAATTAAATTGAATACAAATCAGATGTGTAAGGGTTGAATACTTAGTTTATTTAGACATAATTCCCATTTATTATTAATTAGCATGTAAGGGTTGGATGTGTTTTAATTTATGACCTTGAATTTTGGTAAGAGTTATCTCCCTCTGTTTTTAAAGATTAAAAAAAAATCAATTTTAAAAAAACTTGTGTTTAAAAAGTCATTTTCAATTGTCATTCTATTTGTAATGTTTTGATGCATCTTTCCACCACAGTATTTATTGATATTATTATTATTTGAATTTTTATTTTCAAAAAATCGCCTGTCCCCATAGACTTCAGTGTAATCATTGTTAATTAACTACTGCTTGGTAATTACATTTTGAAACTTTCTCTTGGTAAATCCTTTTCTACTGTAAAATGTTTTAAATTAATATCTGAGTATTATGTATGTGCTAAGGATAGAGAATTTGGTCCTATTAGGGATTGAAAACTTTAATTAAGGGTAAGAGCAAAAAAAGTATAAAAGTTATAAACATCAGTGGCAAGTATCGTAAGAAACTGATGTTAAGTTCTGGGTGTAGTAAATCTGAAGAAGATTGAGACACCCGGTTCTTATCTATCAATGGGAATGTAGGGGAGAAACATGGTGCAAGTAGTACCTTACCCAGTCCCCATCTCTAGATTAGAGAAAATTTAAGTACTGTGTGATATACCATCAGACAGAGCTGTCTTAATAATCATT